AACAATGATAATCATAACTGACATTAGTTGAGTGCCTACTTTTGGCTGGGCCTGTGTTCTAAGTGCTTTAAATGTATTACTGTTTTAATAGTCACGATTCCGAATAAAGAACACATCTAACATCCGTAAGAGGTGTTGGTCAGCCAAGTATGCATAGAGAAGGAGCTTCTTAGAATGCCATGTTGCCAGCACCTTCCAAATACTGCCTGAGAGAGGGAGAGCATTCTAGCCCAGAGACTCAGGAGTGCAGGTTCCCGTGGCGAGGCAGTGCCCGGAGCTGGGGCCCAGGAGCAGGGTGACTCATCTGCCTCTGTTTGTTCCAATCCCGGGCTCATCAGCATCCTTCCCAGAGTGGATGGGTTTCCTGTGCTGGTCTGTCTGATGGGAGAGGTGGTGCTAGTCACACCCAGGTGAGGATTCTGTCCTACAGGGAGATTTCTCCTTCCAGATAAGCCAAGTGCCCTTCCAGTTGGTAGTTAGTCTAGAAGGCTTGGGTAACGGAGAGAGACTTGTTACGTAGGGCTGATGAAATCTGATTTACGGTGAGAGCCAGACCTTAGGCCTTGTTTGTTTCCTATGGTGGCTGTAAGTTACCATAAACATAGTGCCTTAAAACAACATGCGTTTATTATTTCACAGTTCTGGTGATCAGAGCTGAAATAAGCCTCACTGGGCTAAAATCAGGTGTCGGCCGGGCTGCGCTCTGTCCCATCTGTTCCTTGCCTTCTCCAGTTCCTTGAGGCTGCCCACGTCCCTAGGCTTGTGGCCCCTTTCCCCATCTTTGCAACAGCAGCTTAGCATTTTCCATTTCTCTCTGACTCTGGCCCTCCTACCTTCTTCTTTTAGCTATGAGGATCCTTATGATTACAGTGGGTCCACTCAGGTAACCCAGCACAGTCTTCCTATCTCAAGATTCTTAACTATATCATGCCTGAAAATTCCTTTTGCCTGCACAATAACATATTCCCAGGTTCCAGGGATTAGGGCACGGGCACCTTTGGGAGGCCGTTATTCGGCTGGCCACAATAATCCTCCCTGAGGTAAGGCATACACTTTTGGGAATACTTTGGGATGATGGTCAGCTGGCCACCTTAGTTACGCTCAAGCTTAACGTTGGCTGCGCACTTTAATTTTTTTCATCCTCACGTGGGGACATGCTAACTGATTCTAGAGAGAGGGGAAGGGAGGGAGAGCGAGAGAGAGGAACATTGATTGGTTGCCTCCTGGACACACTTGTACCAGGGACCAAACCCACAACCCAGGTATGTGCCCTGACTGGGAATTGAACCTGTGATGTGTCAGTTTATGGGATGATGCTCCAACCAACTGAGGCACACTGGCCAGGACTGCACACTTGAATTTTTGAAGTTGATGCCTCTGCACTTGGTGAGGCAAAGGAGTAGGGTGTTATTACCCTCTGAAAAGCCTGGAAACTCTGCATCACAGGGGCTGAGTGGCTCTCTGGGGATGAAACACATTCTGGCTGGCAGCCCCGACAGTTTCAGTCCACCATGCCTCCTTGCCTATTGCTCTCTCTGCTGCAAAACTAGCATTTCTTGGTCACTGGTGTCACTCTGCATTTGGCTTTATCATAAAACTTAATGGCCACATTAGGTTACAAACCACCTCATGACGGAAACATCTCATTCTATTCAGTTGTTCATTTATGAATGCGTTCATTCATTCTTTTTGTCACCCCGAGGAGAGCCCGTGCTTTGGTTTGTTCTGTGGGAAATATAGAGATGTTGAAGGCTTGGCTCTTGTTCTCAGGGAGTTTCAGTTGAGCAGTCCATTCTGGTCCTTTGTCCTATAGGTCGCATAGTATGGGCTTTGGAAGTGAAAGACTTGGACTCTAATGGTAGATCCGTCAATCACTAGCTGTGTGATGTTGGGTAAGCTGCTTAACCTCTCTGAGCTTGCCTCAGTTCCTCCTTCTATGCAATGGGATAATAACCGTGTGTGCCCTGGAGTGACCTTGTGAACACTGAATGAACGTCTAGCTTCCAGCTCTGAGCTAGACATGTGGTAGATGCTGGTGAGATGTTCTGTACCCTTCCTTGCCCTCGGTGCTGGCTTTATCTTGAGAAAAAAGAGAAAAGTGTGGATGAGACGGTGTGGGGAGCGTGGGAAGTGAATTTAAACATTTCTAGGGTGTTCTAACTAAGCAGCAGAGGCCAGGCGGGAAACAGAAGCCCTGCACCCTTGGTGTGGCCCTTGCAGAACAAGCTCATTAGGCCACGCCCTCTGTTCAAGGCTGCCAGGAATGCATTCTGTTCTTCAGATCCGCATGTCCACAGCACTGGCCAGCAGTTCTTATTGCATCCTCCAGCAGAAAGGCTCAGCAGGTGTTCAGAAAGCAGACTGTCCACCCTGTTCTCCTTTTGGTGGGGGGAAGCTCTTTCTATGGAACAAACAGCTTTTTGGATGAGAAAGAAAAGAAATACCCCAGAGATATAGTAGACACAGAATAGGCTGAGGGAGAGTCCAGAAGGGTGTTTGGATGGGTAGGGAGCTGAGATGTCAGTGGGGAGGGGGGGCAGGTGGAGGGGAAGGAGCAGTGAGGCATTTGGTCTAAGCATTCTGCTGGGCTCTGGGCTCTGGCACAATGCTTTTGTAAGCAAAGTTCAGATTTTAACTCCTGCATATTGAGACACAGAAATAGTCCCAGGGGTTTATCAGGATTTCTACTTTAACTCTGCCAACCTTAACAGATTCAGGAGTAGTTCTTAGAGCTCTTCTTTTCTTCCCCTCATTAGAAGTGTTAAAATGACATGTATTTTATGGACTGTAGGGAGCCTTGGGAGGAGGGAGTGAATAATGACATTTGGTGTTAAGCCGAGAAAAGCGTCCCCCAGGTATCTGAGCATACTCCAAGGGAAGAACAGGAGCCCACACCTGTGAGCACTTACCTGTCTCAGGTTCCCCCCAAGGGCTCAGATCACTCCTGAGGTTGGGCAGGCACTGCATTTCCATTCTCTGGGGAAAAATCCTGTCCCCAGCCCTGCTGTTATCTGGCAGAGACGCTTGGCCCCTCCCAGGAGCTGCTTCCATCTTCTCCCACCAGTGAGTCATCCTCAGAGGCTGTTCTTCGAGAAGGTGGGATGCAGAGCAGGAGGAGGTGTCAGAATGCGAAAGCTGTTCTGTTCCTTCCCTGAAAACTAACTTTGCAGCTTGTAAGTGGTGATTTTTTTTTCCCCTACACGGAGTCAGAACAAGTGAGTGGACCAGGTAGTGACCAGGGCTGGAACCCGCCACCCACCCATCACTGATTGGATATGAGATCCTGTTGTTGTCCTGTGCAAGTCTATTGTCTTGCTGCTTTTCAAATGGGGGCAAAATAATTACAGTGACAGGGTATGTGAGATCCTCAGGATGAAGTCATTTCATAAATATTTAACATGCATGACATATACAGAAATGATTATGTTGAGGGTATTAGCCCTTAGATAATCGGAGTTATTGGCAAAATAAATACAGTAGTCCCTTCTTATCTGCAGGGGATACGTTGCAAGATCCCCAGTAGATGCCCCAAACTGACTATGGTACCAAACCTTAGATACACTATGTTTTTTTTTTTTTCGTATATATACATAACTATGATCAAGTTTAATTTATAAATTAGGCACAGAAAGAGATTAACAGCAGTGATTAATAGTAAAACAGAACAATTATAACAATAGACTGATTAAAAGTTACGTGAATAGCTTTGGGGACATTATTAAGTAAAATAAGGGTTACTTGTTTACAAGGGTTATATCCTCATGTTGGACCACTTCCTTAAAAATTAAGAGTCACTTGAACATCAGCACTGTGGTACCTCGACAGTTGATCTGGTAAATGAGATGGCCACCAATGAGTGATAGGTGACGAGTGTCACAATGTGGGAGACAGCGTAGAGGCAGTAAAGTGCTAGGCCTAGAACCATAGTGGACATATCCACTTAAAATGCAGGTGGGGGATAACCCTGCGAGGGAGGCTACGATGTTACAATTTTCAGGTAAGTGACCTGTGTACAGTGACACACAGAATAGGTGGTGACAGTGGAAGTGGACACCTGTGAATAGGTAAGAACTGGGCATTTTCTCCTACCTCGTATGCATGCAGCACAGACTTGATTTTAGGGCTGATTAGCCAAGAAAGGGCAGCATTTCCTATTGGATCAGATGCACCAGTGAGAAAGGGGCTTTGACTCTAGAATAAAAGCAGTCACATTGAACCACCACCCGCCTGTTCTACTACATTCAGGTAATATGTGTGGGAGCTTTTTATCCCCCTTCCCCTGCTTTTTTTTTTTTTTTCTCTTTTTTTGAGGTTGTCTGCTCAAATGCATGGGAATCGGCAACTTCTTCAGATAGTCTGTTCTGGAGGGAGTGTTAAATTATTCAGACAATCACAAATAGAATGTCTCCAGCAGTCTGAACTTCCTGCTTGAACCTGCAGGTGGCAATTTGCCTAGTCCTGTGAAGGTCTGCAAAGGACTCCTGGCCAGGGGGCAGGAGGCAGGGGTTTTATCTACTGCCCAGCGGGCGAGTGTTTGCTGGCTGCTCTGTACAGCCTGCAAATAAAAGCCCCCTGTTTCTAGGCCCAGGCTGCAGGGTCCCTCGCAAGGCTTGGCACCATGGCAACAAGGCCCTGGCTAGGGCTTCTTCGGGTTCCTCTCCTCCACCTCCCAGTTTTGCGTTCCACTGGCAGCTGGGACTGCTGCAGCGAGCTTCCCTGCTGATCACACCTCGGGCTTGCATTTTTCTGAGCTCCAAAAGGTCCACATGTGCCTCGGGGCATTTTGCAAAGTGAGGCACTTCTTAACATGAACTCCCCTTGTGCCTCTCTGCCACTTTCTTTTCATCCTCTTCTCCTCCAGGAATGTCTTCGCCCCCTCTGATGAGAACATTGCTGCAAGAGGCCATTCGGGCTCACTCTGACCCTAGACCCTTCCTGAAGGAATACCTGGAGCAGGGAAGAGAGCATATCCATTATTAAAGACAAATGATAACCAATTATAATGCATGGAGCTTATTTGAGTCATGCTTTGAGCATCCGTGTGCAGCGGTCACGCTAATCTTCTCTGTGTTGTTCCAGTTTTAGTCTGTGTGCTGCTGAAACGGGCACAGCTTTTAGCATTTTATGTAAATATTTTTTATTCCAAAGGTCTGGTGATTCTCCTGGGGAAGCAGAACAAAAATGTCACCTGCACACACAGGCGTGTGCCTCTCCTGAGCTCTCTGAGTTAAGTTCTCCCACACTTCTGGCTGGAGCTGACCCCGAGCTAGCACTAGCTCGCTTATGCTGTTCCTATCTGTTCTCTTGTTCTTCTCCAACAAAAACTGGAGATCATGGCTGACATTCATTTTGTCCTTCCCCACTGAGCTTCCGGAACTAACCAGACTAGGTTTGGGGCATGCACCAGGTATTTCTGTGGCGTAAAATACCCCCTTCTTCCAAAGTATGCATGTACTTGTCCTAAACAAGTTTCCGACATTCCTCGGTGGCTGTTTGTCACCTCTGTATTAAACATAACAGAATGGATTCCTCATTAATTACAGCCTTGCTGGATGTTGACAAACATATGGAGAGATATGTCTCTCTGCTTTCTTAATGGCCACAGGCACCAAACAGAAACCCATAGAGCTTTAGATGAACATATGTTAATGCTAAGATTCCCCACACTTCCCCCAACTTTTCTTAAAAATAGAGCTGTTATGGTGATGAAAGCTAGAAGCGCTATAAGTATTAGGGTGGTACTTTTTGTACCTAAAGAGTAGCAAGAATTACTCTGTTTCTTTTCTTTCTTTCTTTTTTTCTCCTCACCTGAGGACATGCTTATTTATTTTTAAAGAGAGGGGTATGGAGGTTTGATGCACAAGGATGACGTGCAAATTTGTGAAGCGTTCCATATTATTTTTAAGAAAATGCTAAGAAGCATTTTTATTATGTTAAAATCCTTCTTTTTAAATTTTATTTATTTTACTTTTAGGCAGCAGGGACAGGAGGGAGAAAGAAGGAGAGAAACATCACTGTGTGGTTGCCACTTGCGCGCCCGCCCCTGGGGACCTGGCCGCAACCCAGGCGTGTGCCCTGACTGGGAATTGAACTGGCGACCTTTTGGTTTGCAGGCCGGCGCTCAACCCACTGAGCCATACCAGCCAGGGCATGTTAAAATCCTTCTGAATGGATAATTGGTTGGTGACTTTTTTTTTTTAAAGATATATATTTATTTTTAGAGAGAGCAGAAGGGAGGGAGAAAGAGAGGGAGAGAAACATTGCTGTGAGGACATCGATTGGTTGCCTTTTGTAAGCACCCTGACCGGGGACTAAACCCACAACCTAGGCATGTGCCCTGACGGAGAATTGAACCTGTGACTTTTTGGTTTGTGGGACAACACACAACCAACTGAGCCACGCCAGCCAGGGCCATAGTGTTTCTTAAACCTCACCTCTGGAACCGGCTACATTATTTGGGGACCTTTTAAAATATACAGTCTTTTTTTTTTTTGCACCCTATTCCTAAAAGAATTTACTTCATCACATCTGTGCTGAGTGAGACTTCAGAAACTGCAATTTTGGAAGATTTCATAGGGGATACTGATGTATAGCTTCGGTTTGGAACTGCTGATGCAGTTAGGTGTTCTAGCAAAGGCCTGAAGTTTCGTGAGATCTTTTATTGGTGCCATGTAGGGCCTTTTGCAGAGGAAGGGCATGTTCTTCTTCAGGAAGACCTGATATTTTCAGGAGCATCTATGATGTTTGGCATCCTAAGCCAAGTCCCCACCCATAGGAGAGGGGGGAATCCATCCTGGTGCCCGGTCAGGAGCACCAGCAGGTGCCAACACAGCCAAGGTACAGGCAAAATGCGTCCACCATAGGAACTCTAAGGTCCATTCTAGAATGGTATTTAGTTCAACTCTTATTCCAATAAAATTCACTATGAAACCACTTCCAATAAAACAAGTATCCTTATTTTATCATAGCCTGCGATTTAGATCTTGGGGTGAAGCTTTCTTCATATGGTTTCTTAGGTGAAAGCAACAAAATTATGCTGCTTCCTAATTGCAGATGTGACTTCTCTTCCTTACATGTCAGATAGGGCCGGGGTTGGGAGTTCTCAACAGGTAGTGCCATCTGGGGACAGCCTGGGTTGGCACTGAGGCAGAGACTGTAGGACCACTTGGATGGGATGTTGCGGGCATTCTGATTTGGATGGCAGGTTCCGAAATAGGGCTGTTCATCGGAATCGCTTGGGGAGGTATGTTGAAATTCAGATGCCTGGGCCTTATTAGAGGTGTCTCAGTACATCTGAGACAACTCAGAGGCCTTTCAGATATACCCCCGGATGATTCTCTTGCACACCCAGGTTTGGTGACTATTGGAATAGGTTGCCATTGAAATCCTCTCTGCCGCAAGATTCTGTGAATTCTACCTTCTGTTACAGGACAGAGAGTCGTGGTCTTCCCTGGGTTGTATTCTTTAAAAAACCCAGTGCTCTATTCGTGGGCGCAGACCAACACTGTTTATATTTCAGTCTTAGAGACAATAGAGTATTGAGATGCTCTAAAATATCAGGTTGCATATTCTCTTTGTAATGAAAAGCATTCTTTACTCCAGGAGTGCTTCTTGCTGATACTGGCTGACCACACACACTTCATTCACTTGGATGAAGCTGGATGGTGCTTCATCCCCCCACAGGAACCAGCTACAGGGATCAAGGTGCGATTCTTAGCCAAGATAGTGATTTTAGGAAATGGAAGGGCAAACACAGGACTGAGGTGGTTTGGGAATGGAGCTTGCTCCAGTACACTTCTCCTTGACGTGCTCTAAGCAGAAAAAGAAAACGCAGGGACTCTGGCGGTGGTGAGTGTATGTTTTCTGACCATGGTGTATGCACTGCTCAATATCTCTCAAGTTCTTAAGTTGAAGCTTTCATGGATTTTTTTAAAAAACATCAGCTTGTTCTTCCCCAAATAGATGAATTCTGGTGATAAATAATGAAAAAATGTCGAATGCTAGGAAAATGACATGCAATTTTTTCTTCCCCCTTGATATAAGGCTTTCTTAATAATTGATGCACACATCTTGTCTAATGGCAAAGGGCCTTTCCATAGGGAGATGTAATGTGGACAAGGCTGAGACAGGCTTTGTGAGCCTGTGGCCAGCTCCAAGGCAATGACCACTGAACCTTTTGCTTCTCAGCGGAGGGGCATCTCTCAGGCAGGGGCACAGCAGAGAGAGGGGGTGCTTTTCTCCACTTTTCTCACTTTATTCCCTGATGCTGAGCCTTCTTTGGCAGCTGGCATGTTCCTCATTTTTTAAACTAAGAAGCCACTGTAATTAACTCAAGCCTATTTCTGCTGTGTTAATTAATGTGCACATACAGGAGGTTACTGATTTCCCTTAAGCTGTGATGAATAGGATGGGTTTTCATGGAAGTCACCTAGAGCTTTAGCAGATGCAGCAATTGGCTTTGGGAAACATTCACACCGAATAGCAACACACAACTAATTCTACTTAATAAAGTCTACCAGGGTCTAGGGAATAAAGAGCGGCCCCCGGATTCTTCTAGGTTCTCTGTGGGGATTTGAGGATGAAGAGCAGAGGAAGGGGCCCGTCTACTGGAATCGCTCAGACCTGGGTCTTAATGCCACTCCACGCATGCTGTAAAGCACAGAGTGAATAGTTCACAAGAGTAGCTTTGTATCAGTATTTCTGAGTGCAGAGACTTTGGGTGCTTGGACTTTGGAGCTGGTAGCGTGCAGGCTGGTGGTGCGCGTGGTCCCGGATGCCTGGGCCAGGCTGCCTTTCTGCCACTGCAGTGACTGCGGCGGCAGCCCAACCCTGTGCAACAGACTGCAGTTGATGTCAGACACTTTACGCTCCCCTGGTCTGCTGGTTTGGGTCGTGTGTCAAGTTGGCAGCTAATTTTCTCAGAGCATTCACTTGGAATGGGACTCAGAGGCTGTGCCTGAGTCATAAAGCGCACAGGTCCGGCTGAAATGGCCACCATCCCTCCTTGTGAGGCACGTGGGTCGCTGCGGCTGTGGTGAGAATGATCTCTTCTCTCCTGAAAAACCCCGTGCTTAGCCCACACAGATCGGTTCTGCTTTTTGTGCTCTCTTTTCTTTTGGCATTTTGACAAAATCTGAATTAACAATGTTCCAGGGAGAGCTTGGCTGTTTATGAACTTCTGTTGCTTCCTGGGTCAAAAACTGAGACGGCAGAAGATATCATTGCCTCCTTGATCCACCCCCTCTCTGAATCATCTTTCCTAAATGCGGATCTGATTGTGTCACTCGTTTGCTTAAAAGTCTTCAGCAACGAGGAAGCCTTTGTGGGGGGTGTGATAGAAATATTGATGATCATGACTGTGGTGGTGGTTAAATGTCAAAACATATCAAACTGTACATTCACATTGCATCATTAAAATGGGCGTGGTGTTTTGTGTGTACGTTACACCCCAATAAAATAAAGCAGGAGCAGGGAAAGCCTGAACTCCCTCATTGATCATTCAGTGCCAGACACAAGTGCCACAAACACAGAAGACACAGCTCAGCCTCTTCAAGTCACACCGAGGAAGCCTAGTCCCTTCCCTCACAGAGCATGGCTGTTCCCAGTGAACCTTTTCTTGTTTCTTCCTGTGGCACACGGTGGCTTTAGAACAGAGGGAAAGGAGGGGAAGCATAAGCAGGGAAAAGGGCCTAGAAATAAGATCCCAAAGTTTCTATTTTGTGCCTCCTTCCAAGAAAGTCTCCTGCCCTCCCTCTAACAAATAGAAGCAGGAGGGCAGAAAAGTTAAGAATTCAGACTCCAGAGATAGTCTGTCCCAGCTCTAGTCCATATTAGCTGTGTGACTTGAGGCAATTTACTAATCCTCTCTGTACCTTGATTTCACATCTGTAAAACAATAAGGATAATAATCATTTCCAGCCCAAAGGATTAGGTGGATAATGTATGTGAAGTACCAAAGATGGTACCTGGCCCAAAGTAAAGGTTATATAAGTATTGCTGTTATTATAGTTATTATTGCCCACTGAATATATTGAGATGATTAAGAGGCCTTCTTGAAGGGGCATTTTGTTCTGGTGGAGAAGTGCAGGCAATAAGCAATTTAACAAATC